GCCTCCCCCCAGCCACTGGCAGAGCCAAGCTAAAGCCACATCCAGTGCTTAGTGGCTCATCGTCGTCATCGGCTGCGCAAATGAAGCGCGCACGGACTTGCGTTCCTGTCGATGAATTCTGCTGCCTGCTCTGCATCCCTGCGCCTTTGTAATCACTCACTCACTAGCCGATCTCAGAGACCTTAGCCGTGCTAATAAGCCAGCGCTCATCTTTGCCGTCCTCCCGCTGTCCCCTGTGCCCAGGTAAGGTGGGACCGGACTGGGGAACAGCGGTAGAGGAAAGCTGCCTGGGTTGCTGCGTTCGTACCGCGTCCCATTTGTAAAATCATCAGTAACACTGAAGCATTCTCATTCCAGCTCCTCTCTTCAGCTCTGCTCTACCTTCTACTCAGCCGTAGGAGATTTGGCATTTGATAAATTCAAATGATCTCTTGGGTGGCCTTGCACATGGTCAGCTCGGAAGCACATTGAGAAAACCCAAGTGGCCTAATTACTCTGGTTTTTTCCTCCTACAAAAGTTTTGTGCTCCAAAATAGGGGTGCAAAAACCCTCCTGAGCCATCTCTGATCCGTAAGCTCGGCTTGCAGCGATTCCCCCTTTTGCTTCCACCTTCTGTACATGGTAGACCTGGATCTCCATCACCAAAGGCCATTCCTCCCTAACCGCAGCAGGAGGAAAGCCATTTTGCAGGGCTCTGCTCCTACCCCTCATGGCAGATCTGCATCCCTGAAAATCCTGCGACCGTCAACCTTTGTCAACCACCTTGAGAGCCGCTCGCCGGTGTCGGAGGAAAGGGTTAAAGGACCCACATTCCTGTCCCTACTCCTCCGACCAAAGGTCAGGCAGTTCTTTAGGTGAAGGAAGGGAGGGCGGTGGTGTGCGGCCCTGACCAGGTCATTTGAGGAGTAAACCACATCTGAGCCGAGCTAATGAAGCAGTATTTGTCTCTCTCACAGGCGCATACTCCCGGTCTGTGCCGGGCAAGTTAGAATTCCTTCTCTAGTGGGAGTGAAGATGTCGATTGTATTTTTTCCATGATGTGTATTGAGGCATTTGCTAGGTTGTGGGAGTAAACACTTGGGGGAATTCTCCATGAGCTAGCAAGGGCAAGTCACAAGCCTACTAAATATGGTGAATGAAGATTACAAAAAACCCCTGGAGAATAAAACTCCCTCCTTCCACCCCGGCTCCCCACCACCACCACCACCCCTGCATATTTTTTCTTATTCTCATGCACTGCCATTTCACTGTTTGCCGGGTAAATCCATTTGTGTGGATTAAACACATCGTGCTGCCTTAATTTTTATTTTCTGTACTGAAAAGGTGGCCCTGTGTGTGTGTGTGGGGGGGTCCTTCACGTCCTCACCACTAACGGAGACGCACCGCACCATCCTGCTAGAGAAAGCAGAGACACCAAATATTCAACAGAGGGCGGGGGGGAAGAGCAGGAAATGCTCTCAGGTCTGTAAATACTTGAGGGGGTG